CCCCCCCTCCCCGTATAATATTGACCTTTCATTCAGTCAGATACTATTGCATGGTTATAAATTAGAATTTTTTGGCTTTGCAGTAGGTAATAATAAAAACCGAATGATACCATATTTGAAGCGTTTTGCATTGTCTAGGGCTTGGTTACTGATAGTCAAATACCCTAAATTAACAGTTGCCGTTTTTTTCAAATGAAGCAATAAGGCTAAAATTAGTGTGATCTTGAGAATTTTATAAAAGCACCTCAATTCAGTAAAGCTGGTTTGCGTTAACTACGAACGACCACTTTTCTATTAGCCATTCAAAAATCAATTGACCTGAACATCAGGCTTGGGTTGAAGCTAGTGATAAAATCCTTCTAAATCCTCTCCAAAACCTTTTATATTATTCTTTAATTGATTCTCTATAGCCTTAGTATCTTTTATATTTCTTTATAATCGTTATTTGGAGATTAAAATTGCTGTTCATTAACCGTATTTATTACTACAATTACGTTTGTGCAGTGGCTATAATGCAGATAAGAGGGTTTTATAGCCTGTGGGATGGTTGAATGGTAGCAAATTATTTACTTAAAATTAAGCAATTTGCTTATTTAGCTGAACCGGATAAGAATATATAGCATTGAATTTTACTTTGCATTCACTAGAATTTTCTTCAATTGACCTGGGTCCTTATATCATGCACGATAGTTCTTGATGAAACATGCACAACTGGTTTTCGAACTTCTACAACATTTAAACTTCCGGAGGAACTCAGTTAAGACCCTATTTATTAACTAAAGATGAACATTAGCCCTGATAAAAATTATTTACGATACACTGATGATATCAGGGAATTTGTGTCTTACTTTACTATCTCGACCTTTAGTTCTTATAATTTTACCTGTGCGTGTTCATTGTATTGGCATAGTACTCTGCTTTGCCGGTAAAGATTGCCAACTTATCGAAGCTTAAGAAGCACACACTTAACGCAATACTTACCTATTTGAGATTGGTTGCCTGATTACCACTCAATCAATTAATATGGTTTATTGTATACCAATAAAACTACATTAAGAATAAACTAGATGAAAATGTGCACTAACGAATAAACTCTCCTATTAAATTACCAATTTGAGTTGAATAGGATTATTTTCTATTGGCTAAGACATATGACTCCTGAACTGATAATCAATCGTGATTACCTAATTCGCATTCTAAATATCGATCAACATCTTGGTTAGACTAACAGACACCGATATTGGATAAGTGAGCCTCATGCAAATTAGCGATGTTTAACGAATTTTCAATAAGGCTTCATTGATGAAAATTGCAATAAAACTTGGCTAAGTGAGATGACGTTTAAACATGTTAACAACTTTACTTCAAAACAGGCAGAGAGACACTGGCGAGAGCAGACATGCAGTAACCTCAATTGGGTTAAGGGTAGTTGTGCTATCTTTATGCTTCATTTTGCCAAATTAGTTTACACAAAATATTCTCAAAGCTACAGTGTGGCCAAGATGAACGATAAGTGTTGAGCTGTGAATCGAAGTTTATGATGAATACATTCAGCACTTGCTGAGGGCTATTGAATGCTCAGTATGCTGTTATATGCAACATTTTGTATTTGCTACTTTTAATAAAAAAATATAATTTGCATTTACCTTTCTGTATTCACAAGGTGCCTCTTATTCTGGTCATCCCGTATTTCAGGGTGAAGTTTAAATTCTCCGTTGTTAAAAAATATCAAACCCCTTTCACTATTTTGAAGAATTTCATCAACACCCTTGGGGAATTTTAAATAATCAATTTATGTTTTTAGTCAATTAAAAAACTATTATATACAGCGGAGAAGAAGAAACTTTGAAAAAAAGAACAACCAAAAGCAGGGAATACTTGATTTTATTACCAACAGTAATACAAAAAATGTAGTTTAGAACCGTTGAAAGCAACTGAAGTAGTAAGAGAGTTGAGATTAAGTGAATGCTGAGAGCAAGCTAGGGTGTTAGTGGATCTTACTTCAATCGATTTTTCGATCCGGAAGATCCAGTATTTAATGAACAGGCGACCCATGTTCCAATAATCCAATTTCATAACTGATTCCCTGAGTTGCATCAAATTCGTGTCCATCGCGCCCGGTGCTTACTGGTTTGTGCTTAAATCATAGCTACCTGTCCTTCACTCACAACAATTCAGTTTTTCTCCCGAGGTTAAGGAGGAAAAAAAGAGCCTTCATGATATTCAGTAACTAAGGCTGTTAACATGGCAGTGGTGTGATTGGTAAAACTGTTAAGTTGGCAGAGCTTCGTAGTCTGTGCTTACTCGAGGGAATATTAAAACTGTTAATAAATAACCGTAAAGGAGCGCGAGTTAGAGTTAAATAACACATGCAGGATCAAAATTTTTCGTCTTGATTAATTAACTTTCTCATAAGAGCTATGGCTCACCACAACATCACTCAATGCTTACATAATTTTAAATTTCTAGATTGCATCCCAGGATTTCTGGGGTTGTTCATTCTGTGATTTTCAGACCTTACAGAATAGAGGATTTGATAGTGCTTGATTTCACCTTTATCTTCACACTGCCAAGAGAGCAGATAAATAACATTAAGTCGCTTAAGAGGAAATTAATTTTATACGGCAACAATTAGCATTAGTAAAGGCTGAAATTCATACCGGGTATAGTCGTGAACTTCGAGCAATTTGACGTGGAGGAGTGCATCATTTTTGTGCACTTTCGAAGTTATTTGATCACGGGTTGCCATTCAGTAATACCCAGCTCCCGTTCAGGTAAACCATACTAGTCAATTAGAAGTTTATTCTCCCAACTAAAACTTTGGAGATTTCCATTCTGAAGAATTAATGCTTGAAATAATCAAACCCATTTGATCAACGGAAAGTGAGGAAACTAGCTTTAAAATATTACACTTAGTGTTGATTAAGGTAATTGAAAAATGAAAACTTGGTCTTAAAAGATAAACGATTCAAGTTGTTATTTATCCCTATTAATATAAAGGTACACGTGGTTCGAGACAATTATGACTTCTCTTTTTCATAAAAATGGACTTGCGTTCACTTATATTTTCATATACACACAATTTCCTCATTTTTTAATTAGCCACCCGCCGTTCCGAACCGCACAAAATATATGATCATTCTACATAATCGAGCCTATTTTATCGTACTATATTAATTAAACCACGTAAAATTTAGTTAAGTCAGAAACCTTTAAGTAGTAAAATTATTCAGCTCTCCCCCCCCCCTCTCACAGCACGTAAACATCCTTTGCATTTCAACATTATAGTCTATTTTTTAGAAAAAAACAAAACAAACAGATTTGCTTCAAAACATGCCATAGTTTATATGCAAAAAAAGTGGGTGGTAAACACACATCAAAAAACGATGACGAGGGAGCTAATTAGCGTCGACGCGAAACCGAAGAATAGGTACTCCTCGACGACGCACTGGAATACGACGAGTATGATCGTCGTCGACGTCGTCTCGAATATGATGAGGAAGAGCTTCTTCTTCTACGACACCTTGAACGATCTCGTGATGAGCTTCTCGTATAAGAACTCCTTCTGCGACGTGAATGACGTCGTCTGCTCAATGAGCGAGAACTGGACATCTTCCTACGTCTGCGAGACCGAGATCTAGAAGAACTCCTTATTCGATTTCGACGTGATCTTCGACTACGAATTGACCCTGATGATCGCCTTCTTGAAGGAGATCGAGAGATCGGAGAGGATGACGACGACCTAATACTTCTTGAAGGTCGCCTGGTACGGCTTCCACTTGATGTCGACGTTGATGAAGATCCAGATGAAGAGACTGACCGAGATCGTATCTTCTTGGATGGCGCCTTAGAACTCTACAAAAGATAAGATAACTGCAAGTCTCTACACAAGAAATGAGAGAAAAATGCATGACTAGCCACTCCACTACTGTTTATGTTTTACGGATCACTCACAGGTCCATTTCGGAAAGTTTTTATTAAATTTCTGCCGTTTAATTCAGTAGCCCAACGTAACCAGCGATCAAGCTGCGGGCAAATAGGCGTCGAACCATTTCCTCAGACTTAGCAGACAGGCAAGGTAATCAATAAAAGGCTAATATGAGCAATGCATTGGCCTGTGATTTGAAGCAAGTTTATTTAGGTATCTTACACATTTGACAAAGAGATCAATGGGTAAACGTAAAATTAATTTTGCCGGTGGATCCTGGTAGACTCGGACATCTGCCAATTAGGAGACCACAAGAAAAATCCTCATCGACACATTTCCTGAGGTTAATTCTTGCAAGGGGTGTTAGAAAGTGAGTTGCTTATAAGAGTAGCTAGAGGATGTTTTGGCTCCACCCAAGTCAGATGAAAACACGTCTATCACAATTTCCTCTTAGTCAATTTAGAAACCATGGTTATCTTTTATTGCTAGAGTTTAAGATAGAGCTTTAAATAGTTCGCTTGATGGATTTACCCTAGTAGGTGAGGTCGATAATTTCTTCTCAGCCGGGGGTTCTGATTTTTTTGCATCCGATTCAACGTCACTCATATCCATATCAATAGGTTGATGAATGTTTTCCGCGTTACTACTGCCCCCGAGGGCCAATTTCACAGGACTTTTCTTCGTAGAGGGTGCTTGGGCATTATTCTCTGCCTCGTCCGTCTGCCAACGACTGGTTGTCCATGGACCGGTCTCTTCTTGATCGCCAGGAGTTACATCTCCCAGGACTTCTTTCTTATTCTCCTTAGAACTGCTTGACCAGTCCCTTTTAGATGGACTCTATAATACATAATTGATTTGGAGTCATTAAGAAATTAATGAGGACTTGAGTAGGAATTTATTTACCTTGTTTGATGAAGGTTTGGCTTCAGGGGGATATGGACTAGAAATAAAAATACTGCTATTAAAGACTTTATGTAGGTGGATGTCTGATCAACTTGTCAAAATGTTTCAAAATTAAGAGAACGGTGAAAAATCAAAATATGGATGGCGAGGGACATATACCCCTATATTTCAGCTTCTGAATGACACCAAAAATTAGATTTGAAGAGGGAAACTGACCAACCCGATTATTCCAAACCAAACACTATGAAATGTCGGTATATTCTCAAAGTTGAGGTGAAAAATAAATTTACTAATGAAGTCCAAAGCAAAAAGATCATATGCTTTCTAAATCCCCCCCCACCCCCTCCCATAAATACGTTAGTAAAACTTTTCAAGCTCATTAAGAAATGTGTTCCTAGAACTTGATTTGTGCAGAGGGAAGGTATGCTGGGGCTTCTTTCTAATATATAAAAGTCAAATCCATCGTTCCTCTAATTGGCCAGAATTAGCCGAGTTAATTGACCATTCCCACACCACTGAATGAGCACAGGTAGGCAATGATCTCGGCACCTCTGGCTAAGCACATGCGCACGTTGAATACTGAATTCTACTGTTTGCCGCATATTTTCTTTGAAGATAAACGAACGGCTAATATTGGTAATGGATTAACGTACAGTACAATATAATGATCTTAAGGTAAAAAGTTCTCTGGACATTCAACTACCTCACAGCTTCAAGAGTTTAGTTTGATGAAAAATCCAAACATCGCAAAAAAATTTGCTGTCACACTCTGATGAAGCTTAAAGATCTCAAACTGGAGACACGATTACAAGAGCTTAAACGATCAAATTTTCAGGGCAACGCATCCAAAAAAGCATACCCTCCAGACTTGGAATTAGCTACAACAGGAGACTTGATATGTGAAGGTGGGCTCAAAAGAGGAGATCGAGGTTTCCTCGGTATAACAACCTCTTCGGGAACAGCATTCGGCCTTTCCGGAGAGACAGTAATGGGAGAAGGAGGGGCTTTCAAGAGAGGGGATCTTGCTATCGAACTCAGCTTCTCCGAACTCATCGAAGAATTAACCAGCGGTGGTTTTGGTGAGGCAGTACGTTTCGATGGTGAACGCTGAGTACGTGGTGATGATGGAGACATAAAAGAAGTGCAATGAGATGTACTGGACTTCGGAGCTGGGGAAGATGGAATGGCGATATCATCAACATCACTATTCTGTCTACCCAACTCTATTCTTTTCATAGACTCCCGTTTCCGTTGATTCTCTCTGTGGCGTTCTTCCCATTTGCTTACAAGGTAAGCAGGTGGACTTCGTGAAGCAACGTGTTGTTTCTCGTCGCTTGAAGATCTATCCCCACTCACCTCACGTTTCGTCTCCGGAGTTGCTTTAGAATCTGGATAATAATCCTTGCATCTTTTAGCTGGTTTAAGCGGAGATTTTTCAGATCCTGATAATGAGCGTTTCCTACCGGATTTCTGAAAGAAAAAGAGAATATGAAATTGAATTTAAGTCGTTTGTCTCTGGAAAAACCTCCAGATCAATGGTTGCTTTGTTAATAAAAGTTCAGCCATTCAAGAATCTCGATTTCTGGCTCTATACGACGAAGTAGAGATTTGTAAATAAGAAAGTGGTATTTATGATTTCTTAAGGTTTCATTGTTGTTTGAAAGAAATATATTTACATTAACGAAAATAGCTGGTCTCCTAGGGCATTCAATCCAGACATTTCCCGACTAATCATTGGAACATTAGTAAATACACACGTACCCAACGAGCTGGCGGTGAAGTCGATTTTCTAAGTGAAGAATCGCTGGGACTTTCTTCTCTATGTTTTGAATGATCGTTTTTGTAATCTCGTGAGGTAAAGCTCGGAGATTGACGGGGATATGGCCTCTTTTCATCTTCACCTTGGGATGAATAATCGATTGGGAAGCGTTTGTAAGGAGAAGGGGAAAGATCTTGATCACTCATCCTGCGATCATCAGCATGTCGATATATCCTTCTAGAAGTTAACACAAGAAATTTATACTATGGTCCTAATAAAATCACGATTATAGTCCAGAATAATGAGTAAATAACGCCTTATTTTCCAGTGATTGAGTGAAAGTGAAATCAGGAATAGTCATGTACACTTACCAAATAAAGAAGCCTAAAAGCAAAACTAATAGTAAACGCTATCCGAAAATTGGCTTAATGCAGTAATTAAAAGTTCTTTTCTCTGCAAAAAAATGTAATCTTACCAATAAAACACTACAAGGAAAAGAGACAAAGAACTAGAAACCTAAGATTCCGCTCAATAGCTAGTTCCCTCTTTTCCAAAAAGAAAACATTAAAATGGCTTTTTACATACCGATCGCTTCTATCGTTATTCCGTGATTCCCGGTGTCTATGATTTTTTGGCACTTCTCTTGTATCATCGTAATGCCTCGTCCGGTTATGCCGTGAGGATCTGTCATGCCCATTCACGGGTGATCGCAATACAGCCTTGGAAATACGTTCCTCATTTCTAAAGATGAACAAACAACCAAATAGACCAGATCAACCACTCGTAATATAGTCATCCACTTCAGCGTATAAATTTTTAATGGTATGCATGTATTCTTACGCTTAAGCACATTCTAAATTCATTCGAAGGGGAAAAAATATGATAAGTTTATAGAGGTCGACAAAATGCATTAAGGGAAAGATTGATGAATCCTAATAACTTACACAACAATAGACGATAGACAGTAAAAAAGCTGCAATAATATTCACCAAATTAGAGTGCAACGAAAATGAAATAAGGCTCCAACATGAGATAGAAAATAGAATTATGCGAGTAGATGTCTTACCGGTCGATGCCCATAGCGTCTGCAAATCGATTAGCATGTGTGCGGTAATCATCTCTACTTGCTCGGTGGTAATTTTCATTCCGGGATGCTTGGTGCCAGTGCTCAGGCGTATAAGCCCGGCCTGAACCCCCAGTGTACACATTTGGAGACCGATACCGCTGTACGAAAATCAAAAAAATAAGCAAATAGTATAATGGGGAATAATTATTCGTGCTAAAAAGTAAAACATACCACTTGCCCTCTACCTTTAACCTTTCTCCCCGACTTACTAACAACTGCATTATTTTGGTTAGTACCAAATCTAAAATCAGAAAAATAGGTCATCGTAATGGATAAAAACATTTAAAATTAGAATCAAGAAACTGAAATGAATGAATACTCTATTTGAGTTGGATCCGAAGGACCAGGGCGGTAAAGGAATTTATTCTGTGGGACATCTGGAATTTCTTCAGGTCTTACTTTTACTGAATTCGAATCTGAGTCAGATTCGCTGCCACTAAATAAATAAAATAAATAAAAATATACTCTTACGAAGAACTATGACGATGCTTCTTTGACTTTTTCTTCTTCTTATGTTTCTTCTTCTTTTCCTTCTTCTTTTTGATTGACTTCTTGGAATGCTTTGATATTTTCTTCTTTACTAAAGGAAAGAATAAGTATAAATTAGTAAATACCTGGAATTAATTCGCCGCAATTAACAATGACAGTTGGCTTCAGTGGTTTGTAAACACGAGTATCGGAAACTGGAACTGACTCGATCTTAGCTACAACCTCTTGACCGGAAAGAACATGGCCAAAAATCATATGTTTGCCATTTAGATGAGGAGCAGGAGCAGTGGTACTAAATAAATAAATAGTACAAATATTTGGTTGTACATGAAAAACTGTGAGCCGTTTGTATTCGGACCACGATTAGCCATTGAAAGTAGGAAAGGTCTGTCATGAGCCAACGACATATCTTCGTCTAGAGAAAAAATATGATTCAAATGGGACAAAGTACCAGCAAAAGTGCCACCATAAATAGATTCACCACCAGTTCCATCGCCATTGCTAAAATCACCTCCTTGAATAATGAAACCTTTGATGATTCTGTGAAACATGGATCCCTTATAGTGCAAGGGTTTTCCAGTTTTCATGCCAATACCACAGACACCTATAACGCTAAATGACTACATAGAACGGCATACCTTCGCATAACTTTTTGAAATTATCACATGCTTTAGGACATTTTTCATCAAATAATTCGAGCACAATGCGCTCAGCTAAAGAAGCAAATATTAAATACTATAAACGTACGATCCCCATCCCCAATTGCAACATCCAAATAGCAACGCGTATTGAACTTTCTCCCCATTCTTCCTTATGAATGAAGTATGCGCGCAAACAGGCTACGAAATAAACGAAACGAATGAATAGTCGGCCTTTATTCACCAATGAGGATTAAGATATTCACATTACAGGTACAGGGTAAAAAAATATATAGATTCGAAAGTTAAGTTAAATATTTTTATATATAATTGGATATCTATTAGTATGAAAATTTAATAATTTATGTTCAACAAAATTGTTCTTTATTTGAGAGTGTAATTGAGATACGCTTTCGTGTCCGGAAGTAGCAAATTTTATTTTCATCAACTCAAAAACCGTGAGCTAATTTGTTAACTCACCATATTTTCGGGCAAGAATCTCACACAATTGAGTTTTCATAATGATAACAAGCAAGCAGATTTTGGGGTAGGAAATTTTATTATATTATATTGGATGTCAAATAGAAAGAAATGATATCCGAAATCGTTGAAGTTAATTTGAACCATAACGTGGCATAAACGTGACATAAATGGCATATTTGTGCAGTAACGGATACTAAAAATTACACAATACTGTCTTATATTCAATACCTTTAGATATCTAAATGTTTATTTATATCAAATGGCTGGCTTTCTGATAGTTCTCATTAGCCCAGAGTGTTGGAGTACCAAAGTAACAAAAAGTCAAGAAGAGGGAAAGAGAAGTGATCTACGGATGCAAGGGAGACAGACACGAAGTTGAAGAAAAGGGTAAGTTGAGTACTGTGAAAGTGGTAAAATTTGACAAACAGTGGATCCATGGTAGTTTGAAGACTACTGTCGCTTAGAAACCTTTTTGACGAATGGGTATACATTGCTCAGAATGCGACACTTTGAAATAAGAAAAAATATTAACATTTTCAAAAAAATTTTGTGCTAATGCGTTTCTATGATTCATAAAATTTATTTTAAAACGCAGACAATAATCTTTAATGTTAATATCCGTAAATAATTTGTTATTAAAATGAATGAGAAGATGCGTATTTAACTCTTAATTATAATACTAGTAGAAAGATTATGAGGATCTTTATTGTTTGCCTTAAGACAATATTTAGGTGTATAAACAAAAATGACCTTAAGTTAGTTTTGTTTAACCTTTTCAAATTCTGACTATTGCATTCGACTGCTTTGGGTTGTTGCACGCGACATGGTTTTCTTCGTTTGCAGTAAATGTAATGCCAGTTTAAGAAAGAAACAGGTGCATCAGCATTTCGTAACGTGTCGACCTATTGACGTTTCCTGTGTCGACTGCTCGAAATCATTTACGTAATATCTATGATCATCTTTTATTCCTTTAGTCAACAAAGCTACTCTGCTCACACAACATGCATTTCTGAAAAGGAGAAATATGACAGTGCAAACCTTAAAAATGTCGTTCCTAAAGGTGCCGCAAAGCAGGAGAATTGGACGTCTAATGTTCATTCTAAATTACGTGCTTATAATGCACCCTCTGGTGTTCCAACGCTGATGAAAAAGAAACTCCTAGAAAGTACTAATATTCCACGCAAAAAGGCGAAATTCGAGGTAAGCCGTTGTCTTGGCCTTATTTTCAGAATTTTCTGATGACGTCTTTTAGGTTTGCTAAAAAACAGGACATTGATGCGCTATGGGACTGTATATCTGAACGGGAAAATGTCGAAATCAGTAATAGTATTGCCAAAGAATCCAATGACAGTACTAAATCAGAAGCTTCAAGCTGTTCAAAAGGATCAGTGTCCGAGAAGAATGGCAGTCCTTCTAGCCCTGTGGACCCGGATCCGACTGATAATGGTGATTCTAATGAGAAATGTACGTTTTCTACCTTTAATATATTTACCTTATTTAGATAAGAAAATCCATAAGCGATTTAGAAAAACTATTAAGTCAGTCTTAAACCTACGGTCGAAGCCAATGAAAGCGAAGAAATTGCGCAAATTGGTAATTTTAATAATTAAAATATTTATCATTTTCTTAGACTATCGCAGATTTCAAGACGTCGAAGCATTATGATAAAACACTCCATTCTGATAAGTTCCTGGGGAGTCTATTAGATGTGGTGCTAGAAAACAATCGTCGATTTGTTTTCTCAGAGGATAAACAAAAGGTATCACTGGCTAAATCCGTTGAATAAGCTTTGTTTAATTTGAGTGATTGTACATAAAAGTGTTTTCTATTGTACTACTTGAATGGTTTTTATTGTCCATGTTGAGGTTTATGCATTTCTTGAGTTTGCAAATTTGCATTCGCGATTTAAATTTTTATATTCTATTCTTCTGTTCTAAACCTGTGTTATCTGCTTTGCTCTATTGATGTGATTCAGACTATTGTCCCAGCCTATGAATACACGTGCTCGTCGTTACGCGGCAGTATACATTTGTTTTAAGTCTTGATGGTAACTGTTACGCACATATTTTAAATTTCATACCAAGAATGAGGTCCTGGATTCGATACCCATTTGAGCTTAATTGTACTCCTAAATTGATTGGAGGTCATGCTGCTACTATCGTTCTCAGTGCCTTTTCGTAAGCACTTGCATTGGGCATGACACTACTAGAATTTTTTACATGCTTGACTATGTGAATATTTAATCCACTTATGCTAAATCGTTCCAATATCCTATACTCCTTTGTAAGGGTCAAATATCAAAATTGTTGACCTTCATGCCCGAAGATGTGGGATCATAATTAGCTAACACAACTACTCAATGGAGTCCTGGACTCTAAGGTTATTTGCACAATAGAAAGGGATTGTTGGCTCAATTATCGTTTTACGTCTTGTTTCTCGTTTGGAAAAACAAAAATTAGCGATGGGGAGGGGAAGTTCAGTGCTGGCACGATTATTTCTTTGCGTGCTCGAACATTCCGGATTGCACTGGGAAGCAAATGCAGTGGCGAGTGCTTAAATATGTCAGACAATTAGTAGCCATGTTTGGGCAGCGTAGCCGAAATTGTACACAATGACGGGTTCGTGCCAGTTGCCCACAGCCCATGTGGACGTTCCGCTTCACGCGTCTGTTTCCTCAAGATCATTGAGGTAGGGTAGCTGATCCCGCTCGACATTCCAAACTAGGTGATCTTGGCACTGATGCTAATGAGCGGTACATTTATTTCTGTACAACGTGTGGTTTACGATAATAATTCATGCATGGTTAACATTGCTGTTTGAGTGAATTTCGATGATAATTTGTGGAGTCTTGGTAAAATTTGATCAACATCCCGATTGCTATGTTTATGCGAATTCGAAATTGTGCAAAAACTCCCCCAATTCGAACGTTCCGGGAATGAAGACCTTGTTAACAGGAATGCAATCGACCAAGCGAGTCATTTCGGCTGTGACATACCTATTTACAAAATCGTCCTCTATTTCATACAAGTTATTAAACTATAATGAAGCGTAGTTGGTTGGGGTCAATAAATTCAAACGGGAAAAATAACGATTTAGGCTTCAAGCATTTTAACGTATAACTCCAATATGGGGTTGTTTTAAATAAAATTAGAATGAAAGAACTGCACGTGAACATTACTAGATTACCACGCATTTGAAAATAAGACCGAAGCAATTACTATCGAAAATGGAGTTCTTCGCCTAAATTGGAAAGGCAATGTTGCTAAAAATACCTGAAGTTTAGATTTCTATTGCTTTATTTGTGTGCATATGTATGCATATATTTAAGTTAAATTTCTATTTGACAGTTCAATTAGCCGCTTTTGGGTACTTTGACACTGGACAGGTGCAACTAATCAAAAAATACTACATAAGTTACCTAAAACGAATCATCTTTATTCGCAAACTGCCCAAATGCAAAGATCAGAAAAACTAGTTCACATTAAAAATTGATTTCGTTTTAACATTCATTACTTATGGCTTCACAAATTTCACACCTTATTATTTCTTTTAAAATTTTTAGATACATAGATCTAGCTTTTTAAAATTCGTACGAAAAAATGTGTGCCATTTTTCGAGTTTTGCTTAGTTAAAAATCACACTGGATACTCTACTTCGTAAGCAATTTATTCAAATACTTTCATATATGGAGCTCAGATTTCATACTCAATACATTCAAATCGGCTTTGACAAATCTCACTAAACTTCGAGCATAATCTCGTTTGAAAAAGCGAATAAGCACAAATAAATTTTATGTATACCAAATTAAATAGAATTAATGTCATTTTGAATATTCTTTGTCTTTCATTAAATGAGCCAATGTGAAATTGTCCTTCAGTTTATAACGAAATTCAAGGATTTTATGTCAAAGCTCTATCTTTAGATAGATATTTCAATTTCTCCATAATTGGTCACCTACAATGTCTTTCTTTAACTTTTTCAAGAAATTAAAGCAAATTGAAGAGAAGCCCAAGCGCAAGGCCCTCCCTTCGATAGTTATTCAAGGTGTCGATCCACTTACTCTTTGGACTAACTTATCTGAACTTGGAGATGGAGCGTTTGGAAAAGTTTATAAGGTAATAATTTGTGTTTTTTGCTTACTTTTAGGCGTCAAATAATAAAACCGGCGAGTTAGCAGCTCTTAAAAGTGTTGATTTTACTTCAGAGGAAGAGTTAGAGGATTTGATGGTTGAAATCGATATTCTAAATGAGTGTAAACATCCTAATATTCTTCAATTACATGAAGCCTACGTGTTCAACAAAAAAATTTTGGCATGATTCTTTTCTCTCATTGATTACTGTTCCTAGATGTACCTTGAATATTGTGGTGGAGGTGCCGTTGATGATATAATGAGGAACTTAGATAAACCTCTCACTGAACCACAAATTAAGTTTATATCCCGAGAAGTTATTTCAGGTCTTACATTTCTTCATCAACATTTGATTGTCCATCGTGATCTCAAAGCTGGAAATATTTTAATAACCTCTAATTATGAGATTCGGTTGGGTATGTTATGTGGTTTTATAGTATTACATCATTTATTCAGCCGACTTTGGTGTATCGGCACAAATGGCCAGTGAAAGCCAAAAACGCACAACTTTTATCGGTACCCCATACTGGATGGCGCCCGAAGTGATTGCTTGTGAAACTTTTAAAGACAACCCTTATGATGTTTCTGCTGATGTTTGGTCTTTCGGTATCATGCTCATTGAATTCGCTCAAATGCTTCCTCCCTACAATGAACTCAATCCTACTCGGGTTTTGCTAAAAATTACCAAAAGTGATCCCCCCACTCTTACTAAACCAAGCGCTTGGTAGGATCTCCTATTGTTTTTTTTAATTTTCTCATATATATTTATTCATCATTAATTTTTAATCTGTTTAATTCGCTATTTCCTTCAAGTCCTCTAGTTTACGGTAAATATTTTTTCATTTTTCATATCTTGTGCCCCAGATGCACCGTCTTGTGTAGTAAACTTTGTTATTGCATGTTAAAGCCTTGATTGTATATATAGATTATGTTTTACAAAAGTGCTTTGATATAGATCAAGATACTAGCTTACAATTTATTGTTAATCGAAGTTGGAGTAATTCACCGTTTTCTGCCTTTAGGTCTGATGTTTTCAATAAAATTATCCGTCGATGTCTACAGAAAAATCCTTCTCAACGGGCTACTATGAATCAGCTCATGAGCGTAGGTTTTTTTTACTTTTCTTGTAATTTTACTGATTATTTCCCCTTCCAAGTTTTATCTCGACAAGAAGCGTTAATCTTCCTATTTCACACTCTTATAATCTCTGTCTTGACTTACTTCTAGAGCAAAAATGTTTGGAGAGTGAAATTTGATTCCACCAGTTATCGATCGGTTGAGACCAAAATTTCATGAAATTACTTATCGACCTGTTTCTTGTAGTCGCTATTTTAGTTCTTGTAACTTATGACTTGAATAGAGTTTCAGTTTAAATGAACTAGGTACATAATCACTTTGGTCTCTTTTAAGGTTGCCAAATTGTAATTTAAAGGACTATAACTTGTTTATACTTCAAGACTGTTATTTATCATTACTTGTAACTTGCGTTATCTTTCCTCCAATTTTCAGGATCCATTTGTTGCCAACGTGACTGAGTCTGACCGATCGGTGATCAAATTACTTCTTGGTGAAGCTAACGCTGAAGTTGTGGAGGTGGTTCAAGATATCACTCCCGATGATCTGGTATGTCCTCTCTTTTCCTTTGCTCCTGAAGCCGATTAGCAGATAACAAATGTTAAAAATCAGAAGAGAACCCGATTACTTTTACCCTTTAGGCATAAGGATTAAAGGCGTCTTGTTCGCATAGTTTTAACCAATACTATCGCCAATATGCATGTTATTGACGTAGTGACAAGTATTCATTACTAAGTCATGACCCTTTGGTTACGTAATTATCGGCACACTTCCATTGAGCAACATGGACAACCTTCCTGGTTAATATTGGCCAAGGAAGCTGTCGCTGTTCTTCTGTCCAAAATGGGTGTTTTAACAAATGCCTTAGGATGTACTTTTTGTTATTTATAGCTCGTATCGAAATCATAAACGAACAGCATGGTGTATGGTGAAAAAAATTTTTTTAAAAAATGTAATCTTTTGGAATTGGTTATGTTTATTCGCCACTGGAAGTATTCTCCGTGGTTGGGACTTACTTTGAGAAACTATATTGGTCGTCGATTTTTGTTAAATGGCACAGTTTCCCATTTTCACGTATGTTCGATAGCATGATGAAATAGTTAAACGGGTTAGCAATAGTTTACATCATATCGTGGAGCCTACACCTTCATCTCATCAAGTATTTTCCACATGCGTAATTTCTAATGCTCCTCATATCGTGGGCGGGTGTTCATTACTAATGCCGATCGCTGACCCACCGATGGTGTACTAGTAGTAGTTTTTTTCATTGTTTACTTTACAATTTCTTTTCACATGCAGAAGGAAAAGGCTCTCTATTAATACGCATGGGTTGTTACGTGTCTGAGGTTAAGGGCAACTGCTCACCCTAATGCATTCCTTGATTAGAGCGCTAAGCAAAAACGAGGTGATAAAGCCAAAAATGTATGATATGCTATGTGCTGATTTTTACCCCAATGTTGCTATGACAACACTAAGAGGCCTCAAACTTTGAACTTCTCAAGAGTCGGTTTATTTCGAAGTGTTTGTCTACTGACAATTTTAGCCTGATTTCGACACGGTGTTGGTGTCTGCAGAGACCGTGGAGGCTATGGCGCATTCACTACAAGAAATTGATTCTGCCGATTCGGCCGATGACAAATCATCTTCAACTGACACTACTCAAGTGCACATTGTGAGCTATGAGGATGTACCATTCGATGATGGACCTAAAGTACCACCCCTATTTATCACTGAGGAGGGGGTAAGCTATTCATGCACTCAAAACTTTTTATTAGCCTTCCAATTTTCATGCACACATTGTGAATATCTGCCCCCCCCCCCCCCCACAGACACACACAAAAGGTGTCAATGGAGTATTAAGAGATTTGAGTTCGTTCACTTTCGGCACATTAAACCTTTTGGATACAATTTGATTAATAATACGATGGCAGAATGCGAGTTTATTTCAATTAAATAAAACATTTTCATTTAGTGTGCAATCTGGCAAGTCATAGGTCACGAAATCGGTGCTCATTGGTTAACATTCAGCCAGGTGAGGCCTAACTGCCCTGGTTACTTCTTGGCAGTTAATTACTCTTCCTACCGCCGATTGTCTTGCTTGGCCTTAACTGATTTACAGGTTCAATACCTGTACGTCTCCAATGATTTAATTTGAATACAGAAGGGACAGAATACGAGTTTTTGTTCTTTTTTAAGGGCTCAAATGTCTCATTTGTAGACTCATAATTAAGGGTCTAGTGAGTCGTATTTAACAACATAGCATGCATTTGAATGCACGCCTTCGCAAAATTGGTGTCTTTTCACACTAATGTCACGTTATAATTTCCTGCTGCATGTATTGGGTAAGATTTAATTTCCCGCTTAATAAGAAAGGGTGCCCTATTCCTTCCCACAGCTCGTAACATCAATTATAGGTGAGGTGGGAGAAGTGTCTGAGCTTTAAGTTCTTGATCTAATCCTCGATATAAAAATATTTATTAAGTCTAAATTTAATGGTTGCACACATTTCAATAATTATTTAATACGGAATTGGCGGATTCATCTTTGAATTAATTTATACACTATGAATTTTCATGACCTCATACTTTTGAGTAAGAGTTCAACTTTTATGTCGCAATTCTATGGGATTCGATTTCTCAGTATTTTCTTTGAGAATGAGAATTTCATGTGATGAGGTTGTGTTTGCGGAAGAAATAGGTGTGTTGGGGGGGGGGGGTTAGGGGGGGAGGGAGGAGAGAAAAGCGCGTGTGAAATGCATAAAACTGCCTCATTTCATTTAAATTTGTAATTGGTTGGTGCTCTTTAAAATGAAAAATAAAAAGGACATTAATTTGCATGTGTCAGTAGACGTTGCTAGAAAATGGTCTAATTGATTCAACTTTTAAACTCCAAATTTTTAAATTAAGAGCGGTCATGTGAAACTTTGGATCAAAAAAACTCCAGGAAATTTTTGTAAAACTTCATATATATATATATATATATATATATATACCTTTAGTTTTACATGACCATTCTTGAGCATCTTTGCATCGATCTGTTCATACTACTTCTCAAACGATTCATTTCAATCTTTACAGTCGGTTTATCTATGTCTGAAATTAATAACATACTGATAACTTTGGGGTTTGAAAACCTTTAATAATTCACTTTTCAATCTCCCTATAATTCATTCATTCTGGATTGTTCAAACAACATTTGGTACCTCTTTAGTGGCAAAACTCATGTTTGATCTACTTATCCGTGTTAGCCATTTCAAGCCTCAGTTACGCACAACCGAATCTCGTTCCCTGCCATTTGATGTGGTAGTGTACTACTCTTATACCTCCGGTGTACCGAATCAAAAGAGATATTTGCTTTTAAGGCAACTGGAATTCACCTGACTCTTATGGAAACTACTTAAAAAACATGTTAGTAGTATTTCATCCCAATTGCTTCCCTTTCTTATTTGCCCAATGGGGCTTTCATTTTATATAGGGAACTTGACAGTTAATAAAAAATTTTGCTACATAATTGGTTACTGGACTGTTAATTTTTGTCCGAAGCAATCAGAAAAGGAGAATTTCGATCTGCAAACATCGTTTGGAGCTGTCGTTCCTACTCCAGAGCCCTCCGTGCAGCCTTCGATACAACTCCCTACACCTCCCCCTGCTCCTTTGCCCTTACCCGAATTCGCCTTGGAAATTTCTCGAACCAGTGGCGTTGACAGTCTTGAGTCGGATGAGACAAGGGAAATAGCTTCGTCACATCCATTTGGCGAAACTAAAACTACCAATGTGGACGAGGATGTGAAGAATAGTAATCTACTTTCTCAAGAACAGCCCATGACCTCTATGGTGTGCCCTAATTGTTCACATATGCATATTGCTTTAATCAAGACTTTTTTTAGTCTTATATTCCATTAACTTCTAGTTGCAACGATGTCCCAAACACTTCAGAGCCTCGATTCGTACGCGTCGATTTGTGGTGGATGGCAAAGAACACACAACCACTTCGAAGAGGGTTGTGCTTGCTGAGACAAAACCAAAGCCGATTGCAAATAGGTAGCCTTTTCTAATGCTTGAGTCGTATGATTTGCGCACCTGCGGGATTGCAGTTGGATTGTGTATCCTTCATCTGAAATTCTATTTCTCATGATATTTCTAAAGGGCTTTCCTTCAGCGCATTTATTTCTATGTTTATTGTTATCGTAATACGTGTATCCTTTGAAGCATACTCTACAAATTAAGTTTAAATCTAGATTTTAATAGGTTTTCTTTGCTTTGAATCTAAAAAATCATAGCTTATTGTTGTCTTGGTCAATTATATCTTTTCTGAGTAATCTCATTACAAGCTAAAAAATTTAAAAATAGACACTTCGGCATTTTTAGGTAATCTGCAGCTAACTGATTGCTCGAATCCAGTGGTAGGCCAAAAACTCCTGAACCTCGAAACAACTGCTAAAGAAGATTTTGAAAGCCCTCGAACTGTTTGTCTAGCCATTAAGTTGCAACGAGACTATTCATGACCTTGAAAGTTCTGAAATAACATCAATCGGAAACTGGCTCACTAAAAGAAACTAACTCTGTTCATAGGCTTTTAGTCTCAGTCTGATCGTTTTTCGCTTTACGTGTTCTTCGCGTAACAATATCACGGGTCATTTGTTCGATTCCCATCTGTGTTCAGTAAATGGAATGATTAACAGCATTAACGAGCTACTTTATTAGTAAAGAGGAAATGGACTGCGTGTTTTTCACTCGTGATGTCACTTCTGTACACAGGATATTTTTTGAAAAAGAAAAGTTTTCCTAAGTGAACTTGGGACTTACAACTGAAGGAAAGGACGTGGAATCTTAAGATTTCTAGTTAACTTAAGTAGTGACTAATGTCTCTCCCATAAATTTTCATGTAAAACTTATACATTCAATTGAAACTAAGCTCTTGCGGTTGTTTTTAAATCTAACGACTCATATTCCTGTTTGTATCTTCGCGATCTTGCAACTCACCTATCGGTTGACCTTTTCCCAGGGCGGCATAAGGAAGTGTACCCACGTAATTTAATTGATCGAACTTAAAGTAGTTTCCGAAAGTCTCATGTTTAGTAGTTGGTCAATATTGATTATCACAAGAGTTGAAATTTCACTACTCTCACTTGCGGCTTAGTATAGCGTATCGATCTAATCACAATTTAATTAGTTTTTTCTTACTGACGTATAATATCTATTAATCTTCAGTGGAGCTCGGTTGCGGGCCCTTCGTGAATTCCGAGAGCTGGCAAAGGAAAGCAAACGTCGAAATCGGGAGATTGCTGGACGTGTAGAACAACAAATGCGTCAGCTAGACGCTAAGCAGGCTAATGAGTTCACGGTAAATGCCATTGTTTCTGATCTTCACGCTACCATATTAACCCTGTCTGACCTTCTATAATTTTTCCTCATTTCGGTTTCAGCAATTACATAGGGGCCTTACGCGAGACTTAGAGGCCGTGGTAAAGAAATACAAGAGTACACGTGACCGACTTGAACTTCAATATGAAAATGATCTCAAGGCATTACGTGAAGCTAATGTAAATTTTTACCCTCTTCCCATCTTGTTTTGCCCCTTGAGTTTATCTCTATTGTAATTTTTATTTCCTATTCTGTTTAAGGTGCAAGCGGAGAAAACCTTCCTTGATCAATTTAAGCTACAACTTGAACGAAACGTATCTTCGCGAACCCTGCGCAAATCAATATTTCGTGATGTTCGAGACAGTATTGATAGTAACAGAGGAATTACTACCCTACGTGCACTGGCAAATAATGGATCTTCAATGCCAGCTAGTGAATACTGCTTAGAAGCGGTCAAATTCTTAGAACGGGAAGAAAGTAACCTCGCATCTCAACTAAATAAGCTGAAAGAAGTTCACAATAAAAAGATAGCTCATTTGGATTTACAATTGCAATCGGAGCAATATGAGCTTAATATGAGTGAGTTGATCTCTAACATACTATGCTAGTCAGGATTTAGCTATCATTGGCTTTTGCATTTAAGATTTCACAAAGGAGCAGGGCAAAATGGAACAGCGACACATGCATATGCGACACCAGTTGGCAAGGAGTCAGTTGAAGGACTTTGCTATGGCTGATCGACAGCTACTGGCTAAACGCCTGGCCTCCCAGCTGATCGAACTTAAGGACGTGAGTCTTACGTTATTCTAATGATAAGTCGGTGGTTACGATTCCAAAACTGACCCTTCTACTATTGGGTAACACTTGCTGATAGTCTATTAGAACCTTGAACTTCCATAATGTAATGTTACTTAGCTAACTTCTGATCTATCTCGCCTTGTTTTATCCAGGCTGCAGAGGCCGACAGGGAGCGACTACAAGAGACGCAAATGCTTGAGAGGAAAATTTATCTCAAGAACGAAAAGTCGTCACACAAGAGGAGGATGGCGCATTACCAAAAGAAGCTTCGAGATGATGGGCCGCCAAATGGATTGACCATAAAGGAGGCTATAGCAAAGGTTAGTTAAATTGAGACAATCTGCTTATGTCCATTTAAGTAGTTATATTTGCAATGGCAACCAAAATTAAATGTTACGAATCGTTCTCAGCCAAAGGCAATCAATTTCTGACTTTGCTTTTTACTCGTAGATGGATGAAACAGAACGATTACGTGGTGCAGACGCAATGAGGCGGCTAGAAAATCACCATCAAATGCAATGGCAAGCACTCGATCGTGAGATAATGTCGAGATTTATTGAATTAGACGAGCAGCAATGTGAGAAGAAGACCCTACTTTCTAACCAAGAAACAAATCGACTAAAAGAATTAGAAGACGAAAATAAACAGGAGATGAAGGCCCACATAGACCGCCTCCAGCGCAAACTCCAGGTATAAATAGTTCGTTTTTTGTTAAAATAACGACAGCAAAGCGTAAGAACTAATGACCTGTTTCTTTTCACAGCAACTTCGCGAGCGCTATGAAAAGGAAATTACCAGCCGAGCAGACACAACGTCATTTGAATCAGATATGTGCACTAACCCGAACAATCAAAATAACAACTCTACCAACCTTCTCCTAACTCCCACGTTATCAGTCACATCAGGACCACAACCATATAAATGTTAACTTTAAAGACCATCCCTTAAAATTTTGATTTTCATACCGATCAGTTAATACAGTCTCTTTAACCCTGAGCTTTGCATTTTTCCAAGAAACACGGAAAAAGTAGCAAGTACGTGCAATATAACCAAGCATATGCTTTATTGAGAAAATATCATACAAATTTAGCGTCCTCCACGTTGGCCACCCCTAGGCTTTATCTAGAAGAGAAGCAATTACACATAATAGAAGCTTACTAGGCTGTTGACCATGGCTTGGGAGACCGGATCAAGGTCGGTGTCCATTGTAGTCAAAACAGAGACTTCGGGCTGGTAGTTATCGCGTCGTTCACGTTCTTCTTCTTGAAGCTTGATGCTGATCCCACGAATAGGACCAGCTTGAATACGCCTCATAAGGTGAGTCAAGAAACCCGCAATGCGATTTCTAAGACGTTTTGAGCCAACGCTCGCAACATCCTCAGTGACGCGCTTATTGGTGTGGAAATCACGAGTAAGTTTACTGTAATATCCTTCAATTAAGACGCGAGCAGCTCTTTTAACAGTCTTGGTGCGTACACGGCCCTAGATAAAATATTAAATAGATAAATACGGTAATTTCGACATTATAAAGTCAAGATGAAATACAATAGCGAGATCCAACAAAACCCTATCTAAACGCAATCCAAAGCGCTAACGTACCATGATGAACGACAAATCAAAGTGTGCAGGTAGAGCAAATGAAAAACTCAAACAACAGCCGAATAAATTTTATAGTTAACTCAAAGATTATTTACTTTTACTGTTAAATTAGTAGAAAATTAAATAGTCTTAATTAAATTATAGATTTTGCATTGTTAATAGCAAATTTGCTTTATATGTTAGTCAGCTAAATTAAATTGTTTGTATATTATCAGATCCTATTTTTCAATATTTTAAAATAAATATTTTTATAAAACACAACCTTATCTTTTAGAATTTAATTATCCATAAAGATGTTACCAGTACTTTTGATATCTTCATAGGGTTTTCGAAAACATCTTTCAAGCAACTCAGACGGACAAATTTTATTGCTGCTTCTAATTTTTACGCAATGCTTAAAAACCTTTCAGTCTAGATTATCATTATCCATATCCCCCTGTCTAACATAAACCAAAGAAGATGTTCAACACGAATAATCTTAATATCAAAGCTAATAAAGATATTATTGGTTTTTATCTTTGAGTCAATAGTTTCTATTTGTTTCACGATATTGTTAAGCATTTAATTACTGCACAACGACAAGATTAGTAAAATCAAATGAATCAGCCACATATAACTTCGCACCCAGTTTCAATGTTATCATACAATATGAGCAACTGATATCAAATACTAATTTACGCAATTTCGTAAAATCTTCGGGCGAATGTCGCAGCTATAATTAATAAAAAACTGCTGCTTTATTTCTCAGAATATCAAAAATCATAAAGTACGCACCGAGTAATTTTTTATCGTCCTGCACTTATTGCGGCTTTTAATATTGTTTCAACAAGAACCGTGTAATTAAAAACTTCATTAAATTTTTGTTGGTTAAAAAACTAAGAAGTGGCACTTTAAAAATTTCTATGGTTTGATTAATTTCAAAACCACATGATAATGAAAATTGTACTACTTTATGCATAAAGTTTTTGATCATTTGAAATTTTTCCCAGCGATTTTTGTCGCTAATTAAAAGAAATGGTGAAATCGATTTAATTGAACTTGACGAGGCCAGAAGACTTTATCCACCATAACGTAAGTTAAAGTATTATCAGTCAACGTGGATAGATCATAATTGATTTCTCTCACTGTAATTGGTCATAGAGTTATTTTTAATCTTAATTTAAGTAGCTGAAAATATTTATGTTTTGCATTTATCTACTGAACAGAATTTTTTAAATTTTCTTAAGAGATCAGCGATACTATAGTAATAGCATTATAGGATATTTTTCAAATAAACGTTGAATTTACTATACAGAATAAGCAGCTATGTTTTTTCTTCTTACATTTAGCGTATTTTATCTCTATAAGATATTAAAGACAAAATCCTAAAACAGTCATTTACAATTTTGATGTGTTTTGGTATGTAACAATTACAAAATAATTACTTAAGTCATAAGAATAATGCTAAATAACTGTAAGCTACTAATAAGCATAAGTTAGAAAGTAAGTTCAATGAAGACGGAGATTTCCCACTTTTATGTTGCTCACAGTGTTGAATGCTTAAGAAAATTAGTTAACTATATACTATGGCAATATTCATAATCTGTACAAATCCAAAATGTTTTGTAGCGGTTTACTACTTTGATAAAACCTGACTACTCAGAAATCTCCTGTTATGTTGATCTCCCAGGTTGTTACCACAAGTGGTAGAAGGAAAACAAACGTAGTATCTATAACACGTCTATTTACAAACGTAGTGACAAGAATTGTGTAATTACAAACAGTTTAGTTTTATTCAGCTTAGATGCTTAGTTATAAACACTTGCTGATTTCTGATTGGTCACTCGGATTATTGTCGTTTGCGTGGAAAGTTATACGGCCGCACGTATTAGTAACTCCGCGCGAAAATGGGATAACGTGTTCCACAATACTCCCCCCCCCCTCCCCCCTAGAGCGTCTGTAGGGAGCTAAAAGGTAAATAAACGCTCGATAATTAGTTAATGAACAAAATCAACGAGTCAGGTGGGGAAGGTAACTCTACGGCCACAACGAGTAAAACGGGGTTGTTGCTGGTGATAGACGGGCGTTAAACCTGAAGTGTATGAAGGATCAACAGGAACGGTAGAAGAAGACGGGTAGGCAAGCCGAGGATTCCACATAATCCGGTTTCAACCTGTCGATGATGACGGAGTCCTTAGTGCCGTTGCGGTCAAGAATGAAATATCTTGGTTTGCATTTGAGGACTTTGTAAGGTCCTTCGTTCGGTGGTTGTAGGGGTCTTTTCACTGAATCAACTCGAACGAAAACGAAGGAACTTGAAGACAAATCGTTATGGATATAGAGTTTCATTATTTTATCATTTCAGATGCCTTATCCCTCAATACAACAAATTGCTCCCTCTTTACCTCTTTTTAAAATGTTTATGTACAATTTATTAACTATATATTTTCTTACGCTAAAAGATTCCTACTATTACACATTAATTCCGATATTAATCTAATATAAGCCCACATTCTTTCCAATATTTCAATTTCCGTTGCTCGCTAAATGGAAATACCTTCAAAGGCAGATAATTTAGGTATACTTTCAAACAGAATTAACCTCTGAACCCACATGTTGTCAATAGTAAACCTTTGGCAACTCAGAATCGCTCTATGTTACCCTTTGATGCTTATCTTATAGCTGCTATCCAGATCAGAGCATTGGTACTGGTATCCCTCAGTTACCAGTTGCTTGGTTCCTGTTGTAGAAAGTTTGTTAAGCTGGAAAATCGGTGTTGGATAATAGAGTCTTCTATGGTAGACTACTTTCATTGGTTAGTTTTTTCCGTGTTTTCCTCATAAATAAAATCCAATAAGAGGTTTGTTCTAGAGAATGTGATTTATTGTTATATTCACAATATAAATAAATAGTAATATGTAAGTAGCCAATTGTAACGCATAAATTCTGGATTTTTATTGTTTATCATGGTCGAAAATTAAGGCAACGTTGGAAAAGATGTTTTAAATGTTTGCTTACAGAGCTCCAAAGCATTACTAGGATCTATCTCGAATGTCGCATACTGAGATAAATCGCAATGAACTTGTTTCAAGAACTCAAAATGAAAACAGAGAATTGCTACGTAATTTGCCTTACTTGATTTGAATCAAGTAGGAGTCGTAATGGGTGACCAGATGCTTAAATTTGCATAATTAGCTTCACGAACACTGTTCATAGAGAGATATTATTGCAGTATCGATATCAAAACAAGAAGTTGTATTAAGAAGCAAGAGTGTCACTTGTGTGGTTTTATAGTTTATTGGTCGAGGACGATGAAGTATTTGAATGAGTAAAATTTCCATTCGAATTTTTCAGCATGAAATCAAATTAATTTTAATATTATAATGTTTTCCTTGCAGATGTTAACATCTTTTACCTTTTCTTTCTTTTAATATTCGGAATAGCGCTCTTCTCTAAGATTATCTCTCATAACAAATGGGATGACCTTGTGAATGAAAAAGAAGCCATTATGACTGATTATCGTCGAATAAGGACCCATTCATGAAAAAATCCCATCTTATTCCTCATCTCTCTACCTCAATTTTATTGTGCATATTTCATGATTGTCAGCGGGTATCACATCTGAACTTCTTTTCGCGTATTGTGTGAAACGTCTTCTATCTTTCGTTGGAAAGCACTATTCAAAAGTGATAGCTACTAACTGTTATCAATCTTTGTCTTGTGTGTAAGCTAGAATACTAAACAATTTTACCTCTTCTCCAATTAACTTTGTCTAGATCGAAAGATAATCAAAACAATTTCGTATTCGATTCAGCACAATACTATGCTCTTATGGTCATTGTAAGGATTAATGGGTTAAGAAGTCCATTCGGTTTGTGGCAGACTAGAACATGGTCTTTAATTTAATGTAAAACATTGATAAAACCCTACCTATTTAATTTCAGTAGAAAATTTTGCGGAATTTGGAGCTTTAAGCGTGGAAGGTGTGGTGTAAATTAATTCCTGCGTTCTCATATCTCTTAACGAGTTCATTATTCCTCGTATAAATGTTAAAGTGCACATTTAAATTAAAATGCAATTGGAATTAGCATAGAGGTGGTAGGAGGGCAATGATGAGAGAGTTATTTAAACCACTACGAATCTAGCTCACAGTTAAGCATTCTAAAAAGTGCGTACGTGTTACCGATAGCATAGTGAGCAAAAGTTTAGTGCGTATGTAAGCCACTCAGCCAATCAGTGATCAGTATTCCTTCAGCCTTAGGTGAAATTCTTTGAATGACTAGCATATCTTCAGTAGGCCCATCTCTTCGAACTTCCTACACTCAGTGCCTTCTGTATTTTCCTTACTTTGAAAGTGTCCTATCTAACTTTGGGAATAGATTACAAGGAACTCTGTTAGGGCAATATGAATATACATTGAATTAGTTCGTTTATTAAAGTTAACGGAGTTCTTACTGGTGTAGTATTTCAATCCAAAGCCTCAAGATTGCAAAAGCAAATTGTGTATTTATGAAATAATACAAATTGAATCGTGGTAAGCATTCCGGTAACTTTAAAGCGGGAGGCTTGTTTATTCCATTTTAATCTATACTGAAGTTACCTCTGCAATTGATTTTAGTAGATCCTCTAACATCCAAATTACAGTCGATTAAGCTAACTTACAATAAATCCATTAATTATTTTGTGCATACTCCAGACATGTTGAATTCGCAATTCGTAAAATGGGAAATGTCAGCTACTTCGACTGAAAATTCACTAAACCTCTCCTTGAAAGCCCACGAGCACTTTGTTGGTGAGATTTGACAATTTGAAACTACCAAAAAAACTCCGTTAATTAATTTTGTCAAATTCATTTGCTGGCTCAGTAAATTGAAAGTTGTTTGTTTATTCCATTCGTTATTTTTCCGCCATTGAGAACCGAAAACCTAGTCATATCACTACCCCTTGTTTTCGTATGCCATTCACTCACTTCACCTTCGAAAATATATCGCCTCGTTTTCGAAACTCGGAGAATTTCGAGGGAAGCAAGGATGACTGTTCACTTACACTTCAATGACTTGGGCGGAAAATTGTCGAATGAGTCCTGGTGAAATCCACGAATCAACACCAAAGCCGCCCGGTAGGAGGGGGGTGGGGGAAGGAGGGTGGCTGGGAGTTTGAGGACTGGTTACAGCAATTTCTTGTTTCTATGGCAGGCTGAAGGTGAAAATCGGAAATAAGGGTAGTTCAATAGCCAGCTATTTCACAGAGATGAAAGTCAAAATCATACTAACCCAAACTCCCCTAATTCAAAACTGAAAGTAGTACTATCACCTACTCTTTTTTGCTCGGCATAGAATTTCCACCTCTCTTCGAAGAATTTGATCTTAATGCAAATCCTTATTCTTGAATGCTAAAGCGAAACTCTGTTGAGAAGAATCGCGGCCATGAAGGAAGTCCAGATAAAGGCTAATCATAATCTTTATTTAACCTCGGCAAATCCAATAGTGAACTCTCTCCTCTCTTTCTCTCTCTCTCGCTCTCTTAATTCAATCATATGATCAGATGTGAAAAATGAGAAAATCTACCTTCAATATTTACTAACAGTTAAGTTACTGTTGCTTCTTTTGGGTATGCAGTCACCCTACAAAAGACCTGTGCTGTGGTTCAGTTAAGGTTATTCTTACACATAAAAATACTTTTAGGTGAGCGGTATGTTGGGGCAAAAGAATCGGAGCTCACCAGTTTGTTGAGTTACCACATTGCTGGGCCTAATGAACTAGAATACAAAAAAAACTGTAGAAGCTAAGGGTAAGAGAGTAGCAAACCACAGTTCCTAAAAGTAGAACGCAAGGAGATGTGACCCTGATGTGGAAACAGATGAGAGAGAAGGAGGTGGGGGGGGGGGGGNGGGGGAAGGGGGGGGGCTGGGAAGTGTGCGTGCATATAAACAACAAGTACGTTTATATGAGTCAGTTGGATGGGGATTCGGGTAAGGTATGAGTGAAGGGTGTCTTTAAAGTGAAATGAGACAGTTAAGTAAAGTGGAGATTCGGCAAAGTCGTCTAAGGGTAAGTCAAAAAGGATAAAGGCTTAGCCTCAGCGTTTACAAATATTTAAGAAAAGATTCCGTAGTCAACATCTAGTTATGGAATAAGTTTTTCAGCTGTTTGGCATTGACTAAAATTTTCAATGAAGGCATAATGGATACAGCTCAAACAGAGTAAAGCGTAAATTCTGGCTTTGAGTCATGTTTGAGATAAATCAAACAGTACATAAAGAGGGCCCAGGTGGCTATAGGAAGCGTAGACTAAGTAAATCTTTACTGAGGAACATCATTACTAAATCTATAGGGCGCGTGAAAAGAGAAGTGAAACTGAGAAATATAGGGAGTACGCAGGACGAGAGGAAACGACCACTTTTAAACAAAGGGATATACATCTTGGCATGTTAACTTCCGCTTTTGTCTATTCTGCTTGCTGGCGTGCGTGCGTGCTTCCTTTTGGGGTGCGAGCACACACCTATTCCCAATAATTCAGTAGCAACACGTTTGATGCCTCACAGTCCAAGACATATTAAATTAAAAGAATGTCCAAAACAGCACATTTTTTTCACGGCACAAAATCTAACTCCGAATTCTCTTAAACATAGCAAACCTGTCTCAAATATGCACGTACATGAATACTTGTTTTTGCTGTGCGAAAGGGGCTCGAGAAATGTAAATTTATGCACTGATCTTGTCTTCACCTTTAGGCAAGTTGATTCAAAGTCAACATGCGAATATAAACATGGGCATAGGTAAGGCCATTTGAAATTAGCCTTCGAATTTATTCGCCAAGTTGTCATGACTAACCATTTAATTTTATCGTACTGGTAACAGCTCTGGACATAGAGGACATGATCTTACTCATCTACCTGAGGACTAAAAGCTGAACCTTTCAACTACAAATATTAGGAGATTACAAAATTGATAGTGTATAGATGTGATCATCCTGGTAATTCAAGAGTTCGATTCAACTACCATAATCCAATAACCCAAACCACTATAGAGAATTATCATGTTATAATATATTCACATACCCTGAATGCCAAGTACCAAGACTCACAAATATCCCGTTTCACTGTGTTTAAATCACATAAATGCAAGGGCTCTAAGATATCATCTTTCCACATTGTGCCTTCTATCTTTAGAGGATTAAGACTAAAGATGCTGAGAAAAATGGTATGTAACAGTATTTGGAAAAAAATTGCCATAAGTTCCCATAGTTAATCGAAACTGCAAACAGTAATTCAGTTCCAAAATTCCCTTCAATGAAATAAGGAGCATATATATATTTTCTCTTTTTTTCATAATGTTTCTAGCAGATTAT